AAGACATGAGCTCTGTTTCTCTTTTAGACTGATTCACTCTCATCTAACCCTGGGTGGCCTTGAACTCACAGAGATCCATCTGCCTCTATCTCCTGAATCCCGGGATTAAAGGCGTGAGCCACCACTGCCCAGCTTCTATAACTGTCCAGTGTGACTGGCTTTGCATTCTGATCTAAGGTGGCTTTATTACCACAATATATCAATATATCACCACAATAGTGTGCCATATACTTTATTCTAAGCCAGAGACAAGCATGGAGCAAAATTTATATTCTAGCAGAAGACAATGAACCAGCAAGTCAAGTGTATTACGTGTTAAATGATGATAACTGTCATACAGAAAAAGGAGAGAAGGAAGGGTTGGGAAGACCTGGGACTGTCAGCTGTGGCTCATCTGTAGTCACAGCTATTGGCAGGGGGCTAAGGCAGGATGATGAGTTCAAAGTCAGTCTCAAAACAAACGGTCATGGTCATAATGCCAATACACGCAATGTGGAGACACAGGGAGCATAAATTCCAGGCTGCTAGCCCTAGCTGCCATCTGTAACTTCTATGGGTAACTCTGTGGGTATCAGACATGAACGTGGTACATATACATATATGCAGGAAAAACACTCATTCCTAGAATAGAAATCTTAAAAAGTTTAAAGTTAGATACATAGCAGATATTCTGATGAATTGAAAATATATGACTTGTGGGAAACTAGGTTTCTTCATTTATCACATGAATGATAATGTGACCCAAATATGCATGAAGCCTACATGCAAAGCAGTAGTATCATTTGTGCTCTTGGGAATGAAGACTAAATCTCTCTCACATATAAAAATGTGAGTGAGATTTCTTCTTTGCCCTGAATATTCTTTTCTTTTTAATTTTTATTTTATGAGCATGCCTGCATGTATGTCCAGTGGGAATGTCAGGTCCCCCGACACCTAGGTTACAAACAGTTGTGAGCCACCATATGGGTGCTGGGAATTGAACTCGGATCCTCTGAAAGAGCAGCCAGTGCTCTTAACCGCTGAGCCATCTCTCCAGCCCCGCCCTGAATATTCCTATAGTTTTCATTTTATTTGGGTGTCGTGTCCCCCCAGCTCCACTCCCTGCCCCGGCAATCAGTTCTTTTCATAGGCTGTGGGTCCTGGGCCTTCCCAAGATCATTCCCGAATACCTTGCAGTGGATGACGTAACTCACAGTAATGCCGCTGCACCTAGAGCTTGGGAAGCACATGCGCAGTGGAGATCCTCACTTTGGAAGTGTTCATGACGCCTGTAGTCCCTAGTGTGCTCTGAATGGCACAGTTCATACAGGGCACAGTTTACCCAGCAGAGAGGGGGCATTTTGGGTGTGCTACCTTAGTGTCTTAAAAACTTTTGACTTTTTATTTCTATGTCTCTGTGTGTTTGTGTGTATGCATGCAGGTGCCCACTGAGGCTAGAAGGGAGCATCAGATTCCCCTGGAGCTGGAGCTATGGCAATTGTGAACTACTGGATGTGGGTGCCAGGGGTTGAATTTGGGCTCTCTTGAAGAGCAAGTGCCTAGCTCTTGAGCCATCTCTATAGCCCATGCTGTGGCCTTTTTTTTTTTTTTTTGGCAAGACTGTTGTTCTTTCTCTTTTTGTGTGTCATGCTGGAGTCGAGGGCGCACATTTTTTAGATTTATTTATTCTAGCTTATGTATATGGAAGTCTTGCCTGCATGTATGTATGTGTCCCATGTGTATGCCTGCCTTCAGAAGTCAGAAAGATGTGTTAGATCCCCTGAAACTGATGTTATGGATGATGGGAGCCACCATGTGGGTGCTGGGAACCAAACTTGGCTCTACTGTGAGAGCAGAGCAACAAGTGGTCTTAGCCTCTGAGCCAGCTCTCCAGCGGACCACATGAATGAGAGATTTCCTGTGTCTATAAGAGGGACACACTTTCTCGGCATGGCAGTGCATACCTGTGATCCCAGCACTTAGGTAGTGGAGGCAGGAGGACCAGGAGTTCAAGGCCAGTCTCTGGTCTGTAGAGAGTTTGAGGGCAGCTTGGGCTGCGTGACACACTGTCTCAAAGAGCTAAACAAAACACAACAACAACAAAAGAAGCCAAAACTGAAAATTAAAAACAAAAGAAAAAACCTCAAATAATTCTGCTATACTTCATTTGCTTACTTATACACAGGGTCTTGCTGCAGTCCTGATGTCCTGGAACTTATGGTCTTCCTGCCTTTCCCTTCTGAGTGCCGGATTACGGATGACCACCAGAGCCGGCTTTTTTGCTATAATTTTTTTTGGTTTTTGAGACAGGGTTTCTCTGTGTAGCCCTGGCTCTCCTGGAACTCAGAGATTCACATGCCTCTGCCTCCCGAGTGCTGGGATTAAAGGTGTGTGCTACAGCTGCTTGGTTCTCTTTAATATATGTATATATTATCTTTAATATATTGTGGAATATTATTTTAACTGTGTAGAGGTGTGTTACATTTGTTTCTGCTGCCTTTGTTAATGATGCAAAGATGTGTTACACTTGTTTTATTAAGCAAAATTAGCCTGGGGGTCAGGGGGCTGAGTTAGGCCTAGTGGACAGGAAGTAGTAGGAAGACCTACGTGTAGAAGGGGTCCTTTTGTGGGGACTGAGCAGAAAGATGGCCTTTTTTTCAGGAGACTCAAGCAAGGAAAGAAGGTTAGTTACTTGCTATTCAGACTCTCTGAGCCAGCAGGATTTCTCCTCAAACCTTGAATCCTGAGTTCTATAGAAAGAGAGATTTAGACAAAGTTTAAATTTAGCAGCTGTGACAGAGCCACTGAAGAGTTGCAATAGCCAGTTAGGACAGCAATTGCTTAAGGTGTAGTAGCCACTGTATTGAGTGCAAAACCATATAGGTGCCCAGTGTGGGGCTCCATAATGTAGTTAGTTTGTTTTTTTACTCTTTAGGAACCTACTGTCCATCTCCCAAATAAATACACAGAGACTTATTCTTACTTAGCTTGGCTTGATTCTTGCCAACTTTTCTTAAATTATCCTATTTCTCTTTCACTACATTTTGTCATTGGTGTTTTTTACCTTTCTTTATTCTATATGTCTTTCTTTCCTTTTTACTCTGTGGCTGGCATTCTTCTCTCCTCCTTTTCTAGCTCCTTGAATTCCTCCTCGAATTTCTCTCGAGCCTAGATTTCTCCTCCTATTTATTCTCTCTGCCTGAAAGCCCTGTCCATTTCTCTCTCCAGCCTAGCTATTGGCTGTTCATCTACAAGACCAATCGGGTTTTATTTTTTATTTATTTATTTATTTATTTATTTATTTATTACAGGGTTTCTTTGTAGCTTTGGGGCCTGTCCTGGAACTCATTTTGTAGACCAGTTCAAGGCTGGCCTTGAACTCAATGAGATTCACCTGCCTCTGCCTCCAGTGCTGGGCTTAAAGGTGTGTGCCACCACTGCCCTGCTTCCAATCAGGTATTTTAAACAGGCAAAGTAACACAGCTTTATAGAGTCAAATGCAACATAAAAGAATGCAACACATCTTTGCATCACTAAACAAATGTCCACAGCAGAAACAATGTAACACATCTTAAACTAATGCTCCACAACATCTTGATCCTCTTGCCTCAGCTTCTCAGGCATAGTCACCCCATACCAGCCTCTTTTTTGTTTTAGATTTATTTACTTATTATGTGTACAGTGTTCTGCCTGCATATATGCCTGTACAACAGAAGAGGGCAGCAGATCTCATTATAGATGGTTGTGAGCCACCGTGTGGTTTCTGGGAATTGAAATCAAGACTTCTGGAAGAGCAGCCAGTGCTCTTAACCTCTGAGCCTCCACCCCCAACCTCTTGCTCTAAATATTTTTTTTTTTGGTTTTTTGTGACAGGGTTTCTCTGTGGCTTTGGAAGCTGTCCTGGAACTCGCTTGGTAGTCCAGGCTGGTCTCGAACTCACAGAGATCCGCCTGCCTCTGCCTCCGGAGTGCTGGGATTAAAGGTGTGCGCCACCAACGCCCGGCTCTAATTATTTTTTTAAAATGGTTTAAAATTTATTTTATTTTATGTATATGGGTGTTTTGCCTGTATGTATGTTTATGTGCATTTTGTGCCTGGTGCCCACCGAGGTCAGAAGAGGGTGTATAGATGGTGGTGAGCCACCAAGTAGGTGCTGGGAACAGAACCCAGGTCCTCTGGAGGAGCAGACAGTGCTCTTAACCATTGAGCCAAATCCCCCTAGCCCAGCACTTTAAATTTAAAGACAGTGAGAGAATATTGTATCGTTACTATAGGGCAGCACGATGACACTCAGGAATTAAAAAGCCTAGGAGCTTGTTGACATTGAGAGAAGATCTGAGGAGAAAAGGACAAGAGTCTTACAATGTCTGGGGTTGAAAGAACTTTCTAGGCAGGAGGGTGGCAAGAGCAAAGTCCTTGAGGAACAAGTGGGAGGGGAAAGACACCCAGGTGAGAGCAATGAACGGGGCCAGCAGGATATAAATTGTAGGCCATAAGGAAGACTTTGATTTTTTACTCTGATTGAAATTTATACTGACATTTGAAAGATAAGCATGTGAGTGAGAAACCGTGGTGCTCCTGGAACAGGCCCCAGCTCTGAGCTGCAGCTCTGGCTTCAGTTCATTCAAATAACTACCTGTCATTCCTTCTTCAAGCATTTGGGAAGGAAATACCCTCACCTTAGCTATGGAAGATGAAAACTTTTCAGGGTTTAGGGATATCCTGCCTTCTGTCAGTGTTATTGATAGTGTGGTTTGATAAATGGCCAACTTGGGAAATGAGTAGGTTAATTAACTGCAGACAAAAAGAAGGAAGCAGCTGGGTGGTGGTGGCTGGTGGCGCACGCCTTTAATCCCAGCATTTGAGAGGCAGAAGCAGGTGGATCTCTGAGTTCGAGGCCAACTTGGTCTACAGAGAGAGTTCTAGGACAGGCTCCAAAGCTACACAGAGTAACCCCTGTCTCAAAAAACAACTAAGCAAGCAAGCAAACAAACAAACAAAAAGAAAAAAGAAAAAGAAGGAAGGAGGCCAGAGAGTGTGGAAGTGAGAGCTGTCTTCTGTGTGTGTCTCCTGTTTCCCCGCTGATTTTAAGTGCTACCCCAGCCTGAGGAGAGGGCATGGATGGGTCAGGACAGGTGGCCTGGGCATGAGATGTCTGCCTGTTGACGACTCACGCTTCACTTTTAGAACAGTTTCCAGAAGTGGTGGGAGGGAACGGGCAGGGCAGCTAAATATAGTTCTTGGGCCACTGCACTATGTGGGAGGGTCTGTCCTCTGCTCAGTGTGTGCTGGTCACCGGTTTAGTCCACCCACTGCCATCTGGCTCTGAGTGTCCTTGCCTGGAGCCTGCTGCTTGCCGTCTCTGGACACAGCTTGGATCACCCTGCTGTTAGGCCTACCCTTGACTGGTCCTCCTGGGAATCTTTTTTTGGCCTGAGTTCTCCCACCAGATCTGTGAGTGCGGTGGGCCTGGAGATGTGGGAAGAGGGTCGGGCTGGCTATGCTAGAGAGGTCAGTGGGGAGGACAGTTGGGGAGGGGGTTCTGGATAATTCCAGAGGAGCTGGGACCCAGATCTAGATCAGAGGCTGAAGCCTGGGCTAAATCGGGAGCAAGGAGAATGGACCGGGTCATGTCTAGAAGCTGGGGTTGATAAAGGCCCAATTGGATCACATTTGTTTTTATCTGGGCTGAGAATGGCAATAAACACTGCTTTTGGGATGACACTAAAATCCCCTTTGTCCATTGGCCATAACCAGAGTCTTTTCCAGTATGGGATATAAGGTAGTTAGTCATAGGCTGCGGGACCACAGACCCAGTGTGCGGTTGAGCAGGAATTCGGTCTTTGGGTATCTCTGACAGACTCCTCTTCCCAGGCTCACCATGTCGGCTGCACCAGGCCTCCTGCGCCAGGAACTGTCCTGCCCACTGTGCCTGATGCTGTTCGATGCGCCAGTGACCGCTGAGTGCGGCCATAGTTTCTGCCGTGCCTGCCTGGGCCGCGTTGCAGGCGAGCCTGCCACTGATGGCACAGTGCCCTGTCCCTGCTGCCAGGCACCTACGAGACCTCAAGCGCTCAGCACTAATTTGCAGCTGGCACGTCTTGTGGAGAGTCTGGCCCAAGTACCCCAAGGCCACTGCGAGGAACACCTGGATCCACTGAGCATCTACTGCGAGCAAGATAGCACGCTTGTGTGTGGTGTGTGTGCCTCGCTCGGTTCTCACCGTGGCCACCGTCTTCTGCCTGCCGCTGAAGCCCACGCACGCCTCAAGGTGAGGGACCCAGCAGGGGTCGGGGTGGCACTGGTCGACTAGAGCGGGGTCTGACCATGGGAAGACCGACCGACCGCTGCGGTGATTTGCTTTATGAGCTTCAGGGGATAGATAGGCATCCGGACTGCTAAAGTAGGGTGGGCGGGACTTGGTGGCCAGGGGAGGTGGCCAAAAGGCCACAGGAGCCTTTTAGCTGAGCAGAGCCCACAGGAACCCGTTGGGAGCCTCGTGCAGAATAGTGCTTGCCTGACTGAAGTCCTCCAGCAAGCCTAGAAAGCCCAATGGGGATCTGACGAAACCGTGGTGTGCCTGGCAGGTTGCCTGCCGCCCACGCGCTCTTGGGTGAATTGGATGGAACTGCTAGATTGGCATGTTTGCGGGGTGGAGTACCTGGTAAGACTAGTGACAGCACGTTAAAGGTGAGACCAGGAGCCCCCAACCCGGCTGTCCAGTTGCGTACTGTGCATGACAGAGGTCCACTCATCCCTGAAGCTGCTAAACTTGTGTGAGCCTGACGTTCCAGAGTGATGTGGGAAGGGCAAGGCACATCTATCTGGTCGAGGCTCACGGTGGGTAGGTAGTACCGAGACGCCAGTTCAGGCTGTTGTTCTAGTTGGAGCTATAATACAGCCCTTACACAGTCTTGCTCTCCGGAGGTTGCACCAGGAAAAATATCCAATTATAGTTTAACAAACATGTCAGGTATACAAGCTCCTTAAGGCCATGCATATCACAAATTACATGCATGCAGATACTAGCAGATATGTGCCCATTTGGTCCAGAGAAGTCTGCTATTAAGCATTTATTAGGCTGTGAAAAAGCGAACCGATGCAGAGGTCCCGGGAGGAGGTAGGGTCTGGAGTGGTCTTTCTTCAGTCTGGTGAAGCTGCTGCCATTGCCTTCCATTGCCCCAGAGGCATTGCTTTTCTCCCGTTTTAAAAGATTTACTTTTTTATTATGTATACAGTATTCTTACTTGTATGCCACCATGCATCAAGAAGAGGGCACAGATCTCATTACAGATGGTTGTGAGCCACCATGTGGTTGCTGGGAATTGAACTCAGGACCTCTGGAAGAGCAGTCAGTGCTCTTAACCTCTGAGTCATCTCTCCAGCCCTTCTGGGAACTTTTAAAGGGCAGATGTGGAGCTCCAGGCTCAGTGACCTGCATCAGCCCAGCCCTAAGCCTTAGGAGGTCTGAAGAAGGAGACCCTAGAAAAGAGACAAAGGAGGAAGACGGAAGGCTCTGGGACGTGATGCCTGGAGTTTAGGCAAGTCAGAGGGCTTGGGTCAGGGATGCGCTTTGCAGACTCAGAGTGGTTTTCTGAGTTTCTCAGTATTGGGGGCTCACACTGCACCTCGAAGCTGTGCCGCCCATTCCTGCATACCCACGTTCCGCAGCATGGTTGCTGTGGGGTTGGCACTGTAGTCCTTGAAGTAGAAGGCGACGGGCCTGTTGGTGAGTTTGGTGGCATCCAGTGGCCCAAGTTCCTCTCCCCTCCCAGGATGTGTTGACTGTCCTCAGGAGCGCCACCAGCTTCAAGCTTGATCTTCTTCAGCCAGCCACCAGGCTCTCCAGATGACACTTGCTTGCCAAGGCTCAGCCCCTCGAACCTCTGGCTGCAGGCACCCAAAGCAATCAGGCTGGCCTCAGGAGAGGACACCTGAGGCAGAGACTTATCTGGCGGCTAGCCGGGAGTGTTTGGTTCAGTCCCATGGCTTCCTCTGGGGGAGCATTCCTGAGCAGACACCGCCCATCTTCAGTTTCCCCACGGGAGGTGTCACTTAGTTGAAGCAGGCAGGTGTCTGTTCCCATTCTGCAGAGGAGGAAACTGAGGAAACGGATGGGAGTAAGGGCGGTGAGAAGGCAGTGGTGACTGTGGCAAGGACCTTTTTAAAAATTTTTTAAAGATTTATTTATGTATATGAGTGCTCTATCTGCACGCATACCTGCACACCAGAAGAGGGCACCAGATCTCATTACAATGGTTGTTAGTGTGGCAGGGAGCTTTAAAAGCTCTTCCGTGTTTGTGCTTCAGGGGTCCCTAACCAGCCCGCGGGGTTCAGCTGACTCATAGCAGGTATGCACATTGCATTTTCTGTTCTCAGGGCCCACCGGATGTAAGGAGGCTGACTAGGGCACCAGGCTCTCTGGGCCTGGATTTTCCAGTAAGGGAGGAAACCCAGGAAGGAATGATTGGACCCCTCCTCCTCCCTCCTCCCCCTCTTTCCCTTTCTTTCTCCTCCCCTTCCCCTTCCTTCTTTACTTCTCCTCTGAGACAAGGTATTATTGGGTAGCTCAGGCTGACCTCAAATTTGTGATCCTCCTGCCTCAGTCCTCCGAGTGCTGGGGCTACAGAATGCACTATCGCGCCCAGTTTCATTTCTTCTTTCACACAGCCCCACTCATGCTGTGTGCCCCGTGCTATACTTATAGGCTGCTGGTGACCTTGGGTTTGGATCCTTGCAAGGACCTAGGCCGGGGTTAGCGGCTTGGGGCTGGGGGTGGGGAAAGTAAGGTCAGCGGGGAGTTAAGAAAATAGACCACGGCGATGGGCAGGCAAAGGTACTAGGAGGAAGTGTGGTCAGGCCCGGAGGCATGCAAATGGACTGGAGACTGAGCAGAGGCTGGAGAAGGAGCTGGCTTTGACATCCAGATAAGGGGGCTGTTGTTTTGGGGTGGTACTCCTAGTATCTCTTTTATCCTGTCCCGTAGACACAGCTTCCACAACAGAGACTACAGCTGCAGGAGGCATGCATGCGGAAGGAGAAAAGTGTGGCCGTGCTGGAGCATCAGCTGGCGGAGGTGGAGGTGAGGGGCTGAGGGTGGCAGAGCCTTGGGACTGTAGCACCAGGCCTGGGAACCCTGGGCAAGAATCTTCTCATCCCTATCTCAGGAGACAGTGCGGCACTTCCGGGGAGCTGTAGGGGAGCAGCTGGGGAAGATGCGGGTGTTCCTGGCTGCCCTAGAAAGTTCCTTGGACCGTGAAGCAGAGAGAGTTCGGGGTGAGGCTGGGGTCGCCTTGCGGCGGGAGCTGTCGAGCCTGAACTCTTACCTGGAGCAACTGCGGCAGATGGAGAAGGTGCTGGAGGAGGTGGCTGACAAGCCACAGACAGAGTTCCTTATGGTGAGCACTGCACGTCTGCCCCTCCCTGCCTCCTGGCCGTGGCTCAGGTTCCAGAGACTCAGCCTCTTGTCATATGGGGACCCCGAAGCCCATAGAAGTGAAGGGATAAGCTAGGACTTCATGTCAGAGTTGGGTCTCCGGTTATATGGTGCATAAGTGTCTAAATGGAACCATTCATGTCCTAAGTGGTATAGGCTTGTATGTCTACTAGGACAGTCTTGTAACAGGTGGAAGTATGTCTCTGGGATAAGGAAGGGCACCTTTTTATGCTCACATAAAAGTTAATACCCAAGAGTGGCTTTGAGTCCCGGGTCCTTTTGGCTTTCCTGATCTTTCTGACCCCACACGCATCCTTGGCTGTCTGCTTCACGGTTAGAACTCCCAGAGTCCCTCCTCCCTGCTTTATCTCCACTCTTGTTTTCTCTTTCTCCAGAAACACTGCCTGGTGACCAGCAGGTGAGAAGCTGTGCCTTTCTCTTGCTGAACTTGCTTACACCAGTCTTCCAGGGACACCCTCTGCTAAAAACGTGCTTCTCACTTCGCTCAGCTAGTGACCATTTCTGTGCACTTTGTGTTGAACACAGAAATGAAACAGCCTCGGTCCTTACTCCTGGGGACCGCATATACTGGTGCCATAGATGTGAACAGGCACAGGTATCATTTCAGGATTGCTGGGAGGGAAAAGGGAAGCCAAAGGAGACTTCCCAGAAGAACGGACATTGAAGTTGGATCCTGGAGGAATGGACAGGAGTTGGGGAAATAACATTGCACATGCGGGCTGGCCTTGAACTCACAAAGTAGGCAGGCAGACCTGGAACTAATGATCTTTTTTATTTTTTTGCTTGCTTGTTTTTTGGTTTTTGAGACAGGGTTTCTCTGTATTGTTTTGGAGGCTATCCTGGAACTCGCTCTGTAGACCAGGCTGGTCTCGAACTCACAGAGATCTGCCTGCCTCTGCCTCCTGAGTGCTGGGATTAAAGGCGTGCACCACCAATACCCGGTGGGAACTAATGATTTTAGCCTCTCAAATGCTAGAATTATTGGCATGGATCACCATGGCAGGCTTAAGATTTCAGAGAGTACATTTATATTCAATTGTACCTTATATATTCACATTGTACAGTTGTCGTCTTCATCCACTTCCAGAGTTTTTTCCATATTCCCAAACAGAAATTTCAGGGCAACAGTTTATGGCAGGGGTGTGATGTGGGGATATTGAAAGCCCCTCTCCCATAGCCTGTGTCCTCTTGTCCCTGGAGTAGTTCCTTTTGCCCCCAGCCCCCAACCTCTCTACCCTTCTGTACCCAGGCTGCAGAAGATCCTGTCGGAGTCACCACCACCTGCAAGGCTGGATATCCAGCTGCCTGTCATTTCAGATGACTTCAAATTCCAGGTGTGGAGGAAGATGTTCCGGGCGCTGATGCCAGGTACTCAGAGGGGTGGCTCTGGGTTTGTGGAGCTGTAGGGGAGGGAGGCCCAAGGCACAGAGAGCGGCCTCTCAACCCCACCTCAGAAAGCCATGGAAGAAGATATTCTTTGCTTTTTAGATTCCTCCTTGGAGCCTGGAGTTTATAGTGGTAAATGACAAAGGAGAACACCCAGCTGACCCCAGGAGTGCTGCTGTGGCAGGGTCTGAGCCACTGACTGTGTGGTCCTTGGCCAGTTCTTGTCCTTCTCTGACTGTAGAGATGAAGGTTCCTGCTGGCTGGGACAGGTTTTGGCAGAGTTCCTGGGACTCTGGGCACAATACTGCATCTGACACTGCCTCTGGGAACCTTAGGCTGGGATTCAAGAGCTCAGCTCAGCTTCCTCTCTTAGGAGCTAACATTTCCAGGTGCCCATAGGACACACACACACACACACACACACACACACACACACACACACACACACACACACACACACACACACACACACACACACAGCTTTCCAGCCTTTACTGCCTCTGGTCGAGGTGGGGTGAGAATGAAAATAACTCTGGTTTATTCAAGACTCTTAAAAACAATATATATAAAACATGTGAATGCTGCCTTCATGTTCACCTGCAGGCCAGAAGAGGGCATCAGATCCCATTATAGAGGGTAGTGAGCTACCATTTGGTTGCTGGAAATTGAACTCAGGATCTCTGGAAGAGCAGCCAGTGATCTTAACCTCTGTGCCCTGGTTTATTAAAAACTTTTAAGGCTCAGAGGTTATATCAAGACAGACAGAACCGGGCTTCCTGGCTCCTGTTCTGGGTCTTGGGCGTTTTTTGTGGGCTTCAGAAAACACCACTCATTTGGTATTCCCCAGTCCTGCCCACCACGTGTCTCACTGAGCAAACGTGGGGAGGGTGAGAGGGGTCTAAGGTCCCTAACTTGGCTGGGATCAGGAAGGCTCCGCAGAGCCAGCCTGACCATTGTCTGTTCGGCAGCGCTGGAGGAACTGACTTTTGATCCCAGCTCTGCGCACCCGAGCCTGGTCGTGTCCTCGTCTGGTCGCCGCGTGGAGTGCTCGGAGCAGAAGGCGCCGCCAGCGGGAGAAGACGCGTGCCAGTTCGACAAGGCGGTGGCCGTGGTGGCTCAGCAGCTGCTGTCCCAGGGCGAGCACTACTGGGAGGTTGAGGTGGGCGACAAGCCGCGCTGGGCTCTGGGAGTGATGGCGGCTGACGCTCCCCGCCGTGGCCGGCTGCACGCGGTGCCGTCCCAGGGCCTGTGGCTGCTCGGCCTGCGCGATGGCAAGGTCCTGGAGGCGCACGTGGAGGCCAAGGAGCCGCGGGCACTGCGCACCACCGAGAGGCGCCCGGCGCGCATCGGCCTCTACCTGAGCTTCGCCGATGGTGTACTAGCTTTCTATGATGCGAGCGACGCCGACGCGCTTGCACCCCTCTTTTCCTTCCACGAGCGCCTGCCGGGGCCGGTGTACCCTTTCTTTGACGTGTGCTGGCACGACAAGGGCAAGAACTCTCAGCCGCTGCTGCTCGTGGGGCCTGACAGTGAGCAGGCCTGAGCTCCGACAATGGGGAGGAGACCTGGTCCTGAAGGCGGTGGGAGGGTTTAGCTCACCTTTGTCAGGCCTGGAGTGGGATGGGTTGGGTGGGTTTCTAGGGCTGAAGACTAGGCTGAGGGGTGGCTAGGGAGGGGGTGTTTGTCTCACAGGGTTCAGAGAAGTACACAGGTTGGGATGGTCAGGGGACCGATGGTGAGGGATAGAGGGATAGGGCCATTAGTCAGAATAGTGAGGACATCTGAGTTTAGGTCTAGAGTTCCAGGAGGAAGCTGAGGTTGAGGGAGGTTGGGGAGAGGGCGGGATTTAGTGGAGGATCTTGGGAAGTCTGAGGAACGATGGTCCCTTCAGCTCTGCAACCCATTTCTGAAGGACCCTCCTCCTCAAGGCTGCAGATTCCTCTTACCTGACAGGTTTTCAGTTAGTGCTGAAATCTAACTGCCTTCTCAAAACCCCCAACAATCCTGACGGAGTACAGGAGCATTACTGCAATCCCAGCACTCAGGAGGCTGAGGCAGGAGGATGGAAAGCTATAGGTGAAAGTTTCTGTTCAGCCTGATCCCACCTCCTTCAGTCCCAAATAAATACACAGAGGCTTATATTGTAAACCACTTGGCCTATAGCTCAGGCTTCTTATTGGCTAGCTCTCTCTGAATTATTAGCCCATTTCTAATAATCTCTGTGTTTCCACATGGACTTGGCTTACTGGAGGTGCCCAGGTCTCTTGCCTCCTCAGCAGCTACATGGTGTCTTCCCTGGAGACTCACTCTCTGCATTCCTCTTCCCAGAATTCTCCTTGTCTGGTAGCTCTGCCTATACATCCTGCCTGGCTACTGGCCAATCAGCATTTATTCATCAACCAATAAGAGAAACATATATTCACAGCATACAGAAGGACAGAAACCAACAGGACTCTGTCACAGACAAATGTCTACAAAACAGTGACTTGATAGAACATTGCTGTCTTTCCATTGTAGTAGATCTGGGGGAGGTCAAAGAAGGCTTCTTGAAGCTAGAGGGATGCCTCAGTGGTTAAGAACACTTGCTGCTGGGCTGGAGAGATGGCTTGGAGGTTAAGAGCACTGGTTGCTCTTCCAGAGGTCCTGAGTTCAATCCCAGAAACCACATGATGGTCACAACCATCCATAATGAGATCTGGTGCCCTCTTCTGGCCTGTGGGGATACATGCAGACAGAACACTATACATAATAAATAAATTAATCTTAAAAAACAAAACAAACAAACAAACAAAACCCTTGCTGCTCAAGAGCATTGAGGTTCAGTTCCCAGCACCGACACTCTGGCTCACAATACTCCAATCACAATGAATCTGATGGACTCTTCTGGACTCTGTGGGCACTTGTGGTACTCAGACATATGTGCAGGCAAAACACTCATACATGTTAAAAAATTAAAAAAAAGATTGCCTCTATATCTCTATCTCTATTTCTGTCTCTCTTTGGAGACAAGGTTTTACTGTGTGGCCCAGGCCAGACTAGAATTCACTGCATGGCTCAGTTAAGCTTCAGATTCTTGACTCTCTCTCAGCCTCTGGAGTGTTGGGTTTTCAGGTGCATGTCGCCATGCCCAGTGGCAATGATGGCTGCTTCTTACAAGTTTCTAAGTAGTTCTGTAGCTGCTGGTCACCTGGGAGCACACTGTGACTAATCAGCTGTAAGTGTTGACAGTGGCATACGTCTAAATACACTTCCTGGTTCAACTGACGTTTAAAATCTGCCTGACCTAGAGGGGAGAGGGAAGAAAGAGAAACAACCTTCTCCCTTGCCTCTAGAATATGCTACTGTTTGGACATTGAGGAAATCTGCCATGTTTCTCACCAAGAGAAAGAGCCTAGCATTGTCTCCCTGTGGGTCCTGCTGCTGGCTTTCTCTGGGACTGCCAGAACGGGCTCCTTCCTGCCTTCCTGATGGCTCATACTTTCTTGGATTTTTTTTCCCCCTCAAGGCAGGGTTTCTCTTTGTAGTCCTGGCTTGTCTGACCTCATATTAAGAGATCCACCTGCCTCTGTTGGGATTAAAGGCATTACCACCACACCTGGCTACTTTCTTGGATTTAAAAAACAATGTGTGTAGCCGGCGGTAGTGGCTCATGCGTTTACAGCCTGGTCTACAAGACTAGTTCCAGGAAAGCCTCCAAAGCCACAGAGTAACCATGTGTGGAAAAACCAAAACGACCCCCAAAACCAAAAAACAATGTGTATGTGCGTGCATGTGCATTCGTGGCTTCAAGTGCACGAACCCGGGAGAGCAAGCGAGCAAGTGTCTGTGGAAGGCAGACGTTGATGTGGGCTGTCCTCTTTGATTCTTCCCCACTTTCTGTATTGAGGCAGGGTCTCCTGCTGAGCCCAGCCAGCGCTTGTCAGTTTGGCTAGTCTAGTGGGACAGCTCACTTCGGGATCCCGAGCTCTCAGCCTCCTTCCCCTTACCACACAGCCTGCTTTCTGCACACATCTGCTTTGAGATGGAATGAAGAAAGGCTGATTTACCAACGGTCTCGGATGTCGCAGCTCGGGTGTGAGTTCACTCTGGTCTGTCGAAAGAAGACTCAGAGACACTTTTTTGGGAGGGTTTCTCTGTGACCCAGAGACACTTTAAGATTGAATTTAGCTTTTCACAGCTGCTGGGATCCCCAGTCTTGATGAACTCAAGCCTTTCCCTACGCCCAGGGCGTTTTTATTTTTCTCAGTGTTCACACTTTAGCCAGTTGATTGTCATATGCTCAGAACAACTTGAATGAGGCTTCCGAAAATACAATGTCAAGTGTGAAGTCTCCATCAGGTACCAATTTTCCCGGTTTCCTGAACCAAGTTTTGTGCAGGCTTTTGTATTCTTGGGAAAGTTCCAAACAAAGTTCACTTAGGAGGACAAAAGGTATCTGGTCAACAAAGGATGGAGCTGAGTCAGGTGTGGCCCCCTTGGGGTTAGGACTAGTTGCTATCACTCCAGCGCCAGGGTAGCGGGATCCTGCTTCAACCAACTGTGCTACGTTCTTTAAGTACCAAGGCTTTGCAGGATGTTACCCCTGGAGGGCTCCATATGCCACCTGCTTCCACAAAAACTTTCTGTGCAGAATGCCAGGCTGCAACTCCACCTTGGTTGGTGATACTGAGCACCAAGACTACAAGTTCTCCTCACCCTGGAGGAGCAGACCAGACCAGGAGCTCTGTCCAGTGCACTGTCTGTCCTGGGCCCCAGGAGACCTGCATAGGCATTGTTCGCCTTTTCTTGATTTCTACCTCAAATTGGGCAAAAGAGCTGTGGGTCGAATCCCCACAGCCCACTTCCCACTTTCCTTCCTTGCATGTGGCCTTCACCAGAAGCTGAGTGAGGCTGGCACCAGGCTCTTGGACCTCCAGAACTGTGAGCTATGGAAACCTGTTCTCTATACATTGCCAAGATCCAGGTATTCTGTTATGGCAGCAGGGATGGTCTAACATAAGTACTTCTCCATGGGAAAGCTAGGAGCCCAGGGTGACTGGCTGCTGAGACATTTCCTATGCCTTCTGATGTCTTTTCATAGCACAGCAATAAATCCACATGTGCCATGTTTAAGTTGGAAAACAAAAGCTGAGAGCTTCTGGGTCAATGCTTTTGCTTTTATTATTATTTATTTAATGTACATGGGTTTTTTTTTGTCTGCTTGTATATCTGCATACCAAAAGAGGGCATTGAATCCCATGTGACTTCAGATTGTAGACAGTTATGAGCCACCATGTGGATGGTGGAAATGGAACTCAGGACCTCTGGAAGAGCAGCCAGTGCTCTTAACCCCTGATCCCTCTCTCCAGTCCAGTGCTTTTGTATTTAATGGCTAATTTATGTCACAGAACTGGGCCTCACAACAACTAAAGCTCTACCAGGTTCTGTGGCATCTTATGCTGGGGTTCTAGAACCCTCTGGGTGTAAATGAAATAAAGTCAACTTAAAAATATTTTACTTTGTAGTGGTGGCACATGCCTTTAATCTCAGCACTTGGGAGGCAGAGGCAGGTGAATCTCTATGAGTTCAAGGCCAGCCTGGTCTACAGAGTGAGTTTCAGGACACCTGGGTCTACATAGAGAAACCCTGTCTCAAAATAACATTTTAAATTTGTTTTTAACTCTGTGTGTGTTTGTGTGTGTGTGTGTTTGTACGCACATAAGTACGTACACACGAGTGCGGTGTCTTTGGAGGTCAGAGGAGGGTGTTGGATCCCCTGGAACAGGAGTTACAGGTGGTTATGGGAGCTGCTCAATGGGGGTTCAAACCCCAGTCTTTGGCAAGATGAGTATGTGTTGAGCCAGCTCTCCAGCCCCTAAAATGAGCTGGAAGGACCTGAGTTCACAGGGGTGTGATTTTGGGTTGGTGTGACTAGAACATCTGACAGAAACAGCTTAAGGGAGGAAAAATTTGTTTCATCTCATCTCCCTGATTCCCTCCTCCTTCCTGTCCACCTCTTACCTTCTGTTCCTTTTGTCGCCTTTCTACCTTCATGTAACACATAGTCTATTATTCTGGGACTTCCTTGAAAGTCTTCCTCTTCTATGTTTGGCTTTCTAGTTTTATGACCCTTGCACACACACACACACACACACACACACACAGGAGAGTGTATATATGTATGTGTGTATGCATACAAATTAAAAGTTAGGATCCACATATGAGATGGAGTGTAAAATGCTTTTCTGTTTGTGTTATTTTAATTTTCTGCTGAAAGTCATGTCACTAATGGGACAAGCATTCAGAACACAAGCCTGGGGCTGGTGATTTCACTCAGTTGGATTTGCACAAAGGCCCGGGCTTGATCCGCAGCACCACACAGGTATGGTGGTGCATACCTGTAATCCCAGTGCTTGGAAGGTGTGGGATGGAGACTGGAGACCAGGAATTCAAGGTCGTTTTCCCATAGTGGGAGTTTGAAGTGAGCCTGAGCTACAAGAGTCCCTGTGTCAAGCAGGAAGAAAGGTGACAAGATGATTTGGGTGGCACCTACCTGCCTGTCATCAGCATTTGGGAGGTACAGAAGGATCCTGAGCTCCATACTGAGCCTGAGGCCAGCTTGGGCTAGAAAGCCTTTCACAACC